ACATAATATAATATAATAATATATACTATTATATATGTTATAATATATATATAATAGTATAACAATAATAATTTATAAATGATTATGATGTATATAATAATAATATATACAATATTATAGTATTATATATATAATAAAATATAATAATATATACTATATACTATTATATATGTTATAATATATATAATAGTACAACAATAATAATTTATAAATGATTATAATGCTTTATAAATTATAATAATAATTCAGTAAAAAAACTACATAATATTCACATGTAACTACTAATTCAAAAAAGGTTTATTCGCCAAATTCTATATTACACAAAAGGATAAAAATATTTACACTATATTCACTATCTCAAATATCCATTTTTCGTCAAACCTGCGAATCGTTGCACGTCGATTACAAAGTGTCCAACGATCGAAGCACCGATTACCACCGAATCGACGATCAATCAATAAGATTACTCACCGTCGTCGCTGATTTCGAGATTCGTGTAGCTGTCCCAGTGCAAGATGGGATCGTGATGAGCCGAGGTGTGCGGCACAGCGGGCGTAGGCGCCGGAATAGGGCCGTCCTGGCGTTTAGCGTCCGTGGCGAAGTAGAGAGTGACCACGCTGTCCGGAGGACATCTAGGATCGTCGCAGGCAACGTCCAGCTCGGACCGAGGGAAGGACACCACATTCTCCGTAATTACGCAGGTATGGAACTGCGGGAACAACGGGCTCTGAGAGACCGATCGCGATATACAAACGTGTAACGATCGCGTTTTACGTAATCGCGATGCCCCGAGCGGTCCCACGTGTAACGAGACACGGAAAGCAGATACCATCTCGGTAATTACATGGTTCTCGGATTCTGGGCCGATTGACGTACCCGAACGGCTGCTGTTCGATTCATAAAATACCTGCGACGTCGCGGGGAAAAAAGCGTGTCGGTCTGAAAAGAATACGGATCACTGATCGGGACCCGTTCGTTCGTTCCCGGCGAACGCACCGGTACAAGGAATTATCGAGCGAACAGTTGGGACGTATTTTCGAAATGCGAGATACGTGTTCCGTGACGGTTCCGTGGGGCGTGTTCTGCGATCCTTCAAACAGGCTATTCTTGTTCCTTAATGCTAAAGCTACCGTGACGGTGAAAAAATGTCGGTAACAAATATGCGAACCGCGGCAAAAGATTGATGAAGTTGAAGCCTGCAGCGATTCGCGTTCCGGGTTCTGCGGCCGGCTTGCCCGCAGAACTTCTCCTTAATTGGAGAATCTACAGTTCGGTTTAATTGCTCTCGGAACGATCGTCTTACCTGAAGAGAGAACATGACTTCCCGGCTCTGCTTCGAGTACACCCTGTGGTAACATTTCACCAGAATGTCGCCCCGCAGTCGCAGACCGCCGAGGTTCACCGTGAACTCTCGAGCGTTCGTCACTGAGTAGAGGTCCGAGGTGTAGACCGGAGTGAGTCCTTCGTAGACCTTGAGGAACGCTCGGCAGCCGGTCGGCTCGAACAGAGGCACCCCGAGGACCGTGAGGTGCGTCAGATAGAGAGGTGACTGGCTGATTCTTAAGGAGCCAGAGAGCAGCCCGCTGAAGTACTTGATGTACCTGCAAGCAAAAGAACGGTTCAACCAATGCCCCCCTTGTGATCCCCCTGATTGGATAACAACGATGACAGGGCATGCCACCGGAAGAGCCGAAGCCTCTCAGTCCCGTGTCCCAGAATTCCACTATAGAACGTGACACCGAGAAGCAATTAAAGCCGCGACGTTTCTCAGGAAACGTTTATGTTCGCCGGGTCAAGGTGAGCCGAGCTTTTCACAATGGGCATCCACTTTCGTCACGAACCACGCGGCGATGGCTGTTTGCGCACGCAACTCCCATGGCTGTGAAAGAACCGGCCAGTTTTGTGGTTAATTGATTGCAGCGCGATGTAATTTTTTTGCAGTTTTCTATTTCGGTAATTTTGCCGAGTAGAATGGTGACTCTTGGACATTTTGCAAATTCGTAGGCCTTTTCGGAGGTGAAATAATTCTCTTTCGCGAACGAGACTGACGTGATCTTGAAGCACGAAATCTCCTCTTTCCATCGAGCTTAAGAACGTGGAGCTACGATTTTCCGGCGCTATTTTATGGCTATTTGGATTAAAGGTAAGCCATCAAGAGTTGGGCACCAAACCGTGAAGCATAAATTCAACAAAATTCTATGAACTTTAAAGTGCTGCAACTTTGACGGAAATGGTTTCATCGCGATGAAGTTGAACTCATTTTAAAGGGTGAAATCTATACTTTCAAAGTACTTTATTTTTGTAGAGGTCGAGTGGTCATGCTATTACCATCCGAAGTTTTTGTAACAATATTCGATTTTGATCAAAAATTCAAATTTGCAGCCATGTGTGAAACGCGAGAAATTTTCTTCGCAAAAAACACCGAAACTCTTTTAAAGAGTGAAATCTCCCCTTTCCAACGAGCTCAAGAACGTGGAGCTACGATTTTTCGATGCGACTTTACGGCTATCTGGATTAAAAGCGTACCATCAAGAGTTGGGCACCAAACCGTGAAGCATAAATTCAACAAAATTCGATGAACTTTAAAGCGCTGCAACTTTGACGGAAATGGTTCCATCGCGTTGAAATTGAACTCATTTTAATGGGTGAAATCTAAACTTTCAAAGCACTTTATTTTTGGGAAGGTAGAGTTGCCATGCTATTACCATCCGAAGTTTTTGCAACAATGTCCGATTTTGATAAAGAATTCAACTTTGCGGTCGTGTGTAAACTGCAAAAAATTTTTTTCACAGACCACATCAAATCAGTTTTAAAGGGTGAAATGTCCCCTTTCCAACGAGCTAAGAAACTTCGTACTGCAATTTTCGGGTGCTATTTTCTGACCGTTTGAATGAAGAGTGTGCCACAGCAGTCGAACATTAGGTGTGTGCCTCAAATGCAATTTGACGAAATTCAGAAGGCTGTATCTTTGCTTCAAATGATCGCATCTTGATGGTTCTTAGCTCATTTTAAAGTGTGAAGTCTGCACTTTCGACCTGTTTTAGTCGTTCTGTGATATAATTTTCGTGCTTATCCTAGCAACGTGTTAAACAAACACGGTCGTATTCGCACGACCTTTCATAGTTAAAATTAATTTTAATTTTAAAATAATTATTATCTATTAAACTTGTAAAATATTTTCAACTTCACGTACGTAATAAATAAACTACAGATTTGTATACAGAATAAAAATGCTGTGCACCGATTATTAAAAAAAGAAACAAAATATCAAGACCCTACGTGCTCTAATAACTCGACTGGATTCAAAACAATACACTGACATCCCAAATTCTTCTAATAATTCCATTACCTTAAACTGTTACTACTGCATAAAATCTGCAGCCTGGGCATACAAATCTCATTGCACTATTCTGCATTTCATCCATTCGCGCCGTGACCTTTTCGTCTGACCACAGCAGTCCCGTTCCCCTTCCGCTGGGTCTCTGCCAGAGCGCAGACAATGAAGAGGTATGAAGAGGTTCGCGAGGAGATTGTTCCAGCCTCGATCAGCCTAAGGCCGATCGTCGGATGTAGGCGCTCGGTGTCGATTAATTCGACGGCTTGTAATACACAAGCGAAACACGGAAGAGAGTGGACGCGGAACGAGCGGGTTCCCTCGGTACCTGTCGATTATGCGGCATCGTGATCTCGCTCGGCCGTAATTTCGCGGGCTGGCTCACGAATCCTCGCGTGTCGCTCGTAACGAAGCAGATAGGATCTGCTCTCGGCTGACCGATCCCGGGCTAATGAAAAAAACCTGTTCCCGGTGGCACCTAAGGTGTGCGGTTGGTTATGCGAGTCGCGCCGCTTTGAAACGGGCCAGAGAGAGACTCTTCCCCGCGAGCCGATAATGGATTCATACGTTCCAGCTCGGCCACGCTAACGACATGCTAATGCTCGCCGCTCGTCGAATTAATGGCGGGTAGCTCGGATCGGCCGGGTACGCGACTAGGAAGAGCGAAGACGGCGACGACGCCTAGGGGGGATCCACCTCGTATAAGGACAGGCCTCGATGGGGCACCATTACGATCCACGGATCCACGATCCACGCTCCCGTCAACCGACGAAAACTAAGCGTGAAGGGTGTGCTACGGATCGACAGCGTGTAATAGGCGCCGCGAGATCGTTCGCCTCGAATGGATCGCCAAGGTGGACGGGGTCTGCCTACGAGACTCGGGTTTATGGGGTTATTTCTCCGCGATTTTTTGGCCGGCCGGGAACTTGTCGCGGATTATCGGACGCTCGCATGCGCCGGGATTACGGCGTCCCAGACGTCCAGATGCGCGATCATTGATTTACGGAAAATCTGTGCGAGTGTGGGATTATTTTTGTTAATTGAAGTGTGCATGTGTTACTTTTATCGGCGGAGTTTTTGAGTATGCGATGAGCGAGAGAAGTGAGGGTCGACGATGGAATCATAATTGAGAAATTAGAGGCCATTGAAATCTTCATGTGTCAAGATTGTGTGTATAAATAAATACACTCGATATTATACATTTTTGCATTTGAGTGCACTTCTTCGTTCTCAGTGCGATAAATCTGCGGGAAAAAATCGTACATCAACTTTTTTATACTCGTTGCAAAGATAACGCTTCACTCTTTAATTCCATGTCAATTTCAATGAAAAGAAAAATTTTGTCGCCTCTGTGAACACGTTTGAATCTGGCAGATTTTCTACCAATCGTATTCAAGGTGTCTTCACTTCCCAAGCTGCTGCGAGGTGCAGACATTTTTTCGAAAGAAATGAATTCAGTAGAATGAAAGCGTACACTTCACGCTTTAAAATGAGTCTGGTTTGATTACTACACGATTTTTCGTCTCAAAGTTATCGCGCTATAAATATCGACTAATTAGTCTCCAGATCACGAGAACACTAACCCCACCATGCCGACCGAGTAGCTGAACGTCGAGGTGGGGAGAGCGACCTTGAACAGGCAATACTGCTGATTGCAGGACTGTCGGCCAGATCTGAATAATTTGATGCGAGCTAAGGGAGTGCAGCTTGACTAAACAATTAACGCAGCGACGACACGTGGCAGTAAACTTGACGCTCGACCGATTGGACAGCCAAGGCTAGAATTGCACGACGCATACTGGTTCATACGATCCATTCTGTTCGTGAGAATCGTTATACAATCTCACGATACTGGTAATGATAGTGTGCAACGTTTCCGGAACGAGGTCTGCTATTTCGAACGCTTCGGCTAATTAATGAAGTCTGACATTGTGACTCGGTAACTCCTTAGACTGCAACAATGCTTTACGAGATTTCCTTCGTTCTGAAATTTTATATAATCCCAGTCGTGGAATCGAAATGTAAGAAAATTTTTTAATTGAAATAAACATACGTTGTTTGATGAAGATGATAAAATAAGAGAACGTATGCTTCGATTAAGAAATCGATTCAATTATTTTCGATGAAAGATGAAAGATTTCTTCTAGAATAAAATAATGTGAATCCGGTCATTTTGATTTGATTAGCTTCCAGAATGTGTTATTCTGCGCTGTGCCAGTAGCCTCGAAATTTCGCTAACCCTTTAAGACGGTTAAGGTCGCGTCTAAGGATGCACCGGAAACGCAGAGATCGATTCCGACGCGACCGCATCCGAGAAATAAGAGCGCGGCCTCGTAAACATCAATTTCTTTGAGCCCGTCAGCGGTCGGCACGCATACTAATTATGACATAACAGTTTACGTAACGCTGGAAACTGTAAGACCATCCGAACGGTCAGGTTTACGGTCAAACGATCGGCGATATGCTCGTTGCGTTAAAATAGGGACTGGCCGGTTCGCGTTAATAACTTGGCCGGTTGCACTGGTCGCGGCACAACCACGCTCGGGGACACTTTTCGCAGCAACGTGCGACCGGCTCTCGGCTAATAGGCGATAAACTGAATTTTATCGCGCTGCGCCGACGCGGCTAGTAAACGTCATGCTCTCGAGCGATTACCTTCGATGCGACGGGACCTGCAGGGATCCGATCTTGTCGTCCAGGAATCTCCTCATGGCGAACCTGTCCAGCGCCTGGTCGCGTCCTCCGCAGATGCTGCTGTAGTTCATGTACGCGGAGACTGCCACACCCAATCGCTCTTTGCTACCCCTGCGTCCGAAAGTGTTCGTGTTCGTTCAGGTAAATCGTTCATCCGAGGATCCGCGGACTTTTCAAGGCGACGATGATACTCACCTGGCGTGGAGAACCACGACGCGATTAGGCGCACCGTTCAGCCAGGAGTCCAGCTCCTTGCACAAGGCACACAACCTTTCCAAACTGGGCGCCAGACCTTGGGGCCAGCCTTCTTCTCTGGTGTTCGGCTCGCCGGGACGTCCTGGCGACGACAGGTTGAATATCTGCAAGTTAGGCCGCTTCGATCAGGCCCGGTCTTTTTATATTCGCGAATTTAACGCGTCCACTGACAGAAAGTCTCGTCAATTCGTGGCAGTTTAGGCTTTTCGAATTTTAGAAACGGTTCGGATTTGTGGTGGAAGTAGAAGCGATATTGTGAGACTTGGGAGGAAGGGTTATTCTTTGCGGAATATTGCCCGAAAATTGAAGACTTCATATAAGAGAGTGTACTACAAATATATTAATTAAGTAAATTAAGATCTGCTGCTTCGATTAGCTTAATACACTCGACTAAATAATATTAATAGGCAATTGTTATGACTAGACTGCGGTTTTTATGCATACAAAACTGAATAGCTGCAGTTTGAAGTACCGAATAGATTAAAAGAATTAAAAAATATCAATGTATTATTTTTAATCCCCTAAGATTACTCAAAAAGAGAACAACTTTATATTTTTTCTGTATTTATTACTTATAACTGCTGCAGACCATTTTATTAAAATTTTATTTATTCCGAAATTTCTATTCAATTTTAAATGAAACAATTTTATTTATTTCAAAATCCGCAGTCTACTTATTATCATACTCATACTCCGTGATCAGTTTAGCAAAACGTATTGTTGGCTACCTAATGTAACGTGAAGCGTTAATTATACGCGATCAGAATACTGTGTCGAACCGAGCATCGTTTTTTACCTCCATCGAATCTGTGGTAACCGAGAAAGTCCCTTTCTCCATTTTCCTGTAACTTCGTCCCAGGCAATTAGGTGTCCCCGAACCCGAGGAACGTTTGATTACCCGTCCGCGGTGTAATTGGTGTTGCTATTACAAAACTTCGTAGCTGCTCCGTATTCAGAATAGTTTTAAAGACGACACCGGGGACTTGAACTTTCGCGAGAAGTTTCTTTCGTTCTACTCGAGTTGCCTCGCGTTTCCCGCGAACACTGCGAAAATGGCGGGTGCGGTAAACACACCGGTGGAACGCTACCGCAGCAGCTTAGGATTCAAGCGGACCGATCCCAGCGAGATCGAGACAGCGGTTGTAACAGCATTGTGTAATCGAGTTAAAGGTTGCCCCGCGCCGGTAATCGTGGCGTCGTTCAATTTGCCGATCGTTATTCCATAAAAAGCGGTACGATTAAACGGCTATTAATTAATCGGTACCAGGTGCTCACCATATAATTATCGGCGTGTTTCCCTCGGAGCAGCGTGGTGGCATGTTCGAGCACTCCCTGGGCATCCTCCCTGTACCAAAGAGCGATGATCCTCTCCGTGACGTAACAGAGCTCCATCACTTCCGTCACGCGACCTCCGACCTTCCCCAAACCTGTCGTCGCCGCGTCCGCACCGACGCCCGGCGTCCTCGCGGGTGCCGTCGTCGACGAGGACGTCTGTATCTGCACAGCCAATTAACGCGCCAATTAAATTCCCGCACCCTCGCCCGGTTTGCAGTAATCGAGTTTTAACATTCCGACGTTCGATCCGGACGATCCAAGCGAGACCAAGCTTAAATCGTCCGGTTATTTTACAGTTTGGCAGGTCAATTTGTATAACTATAATACGACAAAACAATTTTTATCAATTTTTACTATATACGTGTTGTGATTTTTAATTGAAAACGATCTTGAATGTACGATTAAAACGATCGAAGTGAATCCAAGTTAACCCTTTGCGCTCGAAGCCACATTAACTGGAAAATTTAAATTAACTTTTTCGACTTATGGTATTTCCATTTTAATGACAAAGTGCATTTTATGCGTATGAAATTGAGTCTCGTGACTCATACAACAGTTAAACTTTTAACAATTCTTTATACCTAAGCTTTGATATTATAAAAATTATCTTGGAACGTGGTGCAACAATTTTAATGGTGCCTCAGAGTCACCATTCGAGCGCAAAGAATTAATAAATGGACAGAATTTTGCAAGATTAAATTTTACAGACACTTCGCACTTCGCTAGATTAATTTTTATAGCTGTGCAACGATAAAGCATTCTTACATGTCTTGACCATGAACATTTCAGCTTAATATGCAGCAGCTTAATATTAATATATTATTAATATTAATATATTATTAATATTAATATATTATTAATATTAATATATTAATATATTAATTATTAATATTAATTATTACAGCAGCTTTAATGATAATGGTTTCTGTGCGTTCGTTAGGAACGATCCAAGCGAAACTAAATTACAGGAACGACAGATGCTGCGTAAATGACCGATAAAGCCCAAGCATAAGTTTCATATTCATTTAACACGTTGGCAAGATCACTTTCGTGCAATCGTGCAACGATGAAATGGCTGTTCGGAACTTGAAGAAGCAACACGTCCATTTTCGATTTAGTTCAACGATTGGCTCTCCGCGTGGCATAACATTACAGCACGGTTTATCAATTAAGCGTTTATCCGAGCACCAATTTTCATATCGATGAACAGTTCACGGATTTTACTACGCGACGAGTTCCCGGAGCCGCGGAACGACGGCGCGCTATTAATTTTCGCGAAGGGACACTGCGAGACAGCTTTCCCTGCTTCGGCAAACCGAACGGGAACAAAGCGAAAGCTATCCTCGGAGAAGATCCGAAATAATTCCACGTTCCGGCACATAATTCATCCCCGTTTTTAAAGTCATAAACGAAGCCGGGGGAAGTCGTTTACAACCCTCCCCCTCCCGACCACTTTCACCACCCGGAATAACCAATTCCTGGCACTTCGAACTGCTCGGCGGCCTCATTAAAGAAACAATAAATTATTCATCGAGCCGTCGCGAGAGGAGCTTACGAGGACCGAGTCAAGAATAGCAGAAAGTCTCTCTCTTTCTCTCGAGCGAGAGTGAACCTTGGAGTACTTCGGCGCGTAGAGGATCCTGACGACGATCTTGTCCGGCATGGCGGCGCCCGTTCAGGAGGATCCTTATCGGAGCGAATCGACATGAAATCCTGGCGCTTGGACGCGGCCGCCGCGTTTATCCTGGCAGAGGAGTCGGTTTACGGGAAGAGGACCTAGCCGACGGGATAACAGACTGCCGGGTATTGTGTTTCTTCAGCTGCGCCAGTCGTCGCCGTGCTCGAGGTTACCCAGTGGTCGCCGGTCTTGTCCGACGGCTGTACTGCGTTTCTTCTTCGTTCACCTGACGTCCAACAGGCTTCTCCCACCAAAGCCGGCTACTCGCTGGCCAGCGATATCTGCATCTGAATGATGCAACGAATTCGTCCAGGCTAGGCGGCGCGACTTCCAGACCAAGTCACGCTCGTCGTTAGACGCGAGGCGCATTAGCGCGCGGCAACGTTCGCGAATCACTATGGAGAACGCGATAACTCCTGTGCGTGAGTAATTCGACTTCAAGGGCGACGAGGAAGTACCGACGGATTTGAATAGCACGATTGTTGGACAACTGCGTCGCGGATTCGCTCCGCTCTTGGACGATCGAATCTCGTCTTCCGCCGATCGTTAGCGCGAAATGGGGAGACCTCGGTGGGGAAATTGATGGTTGATGATTTTTGTGGGGATGACGGTGATTTTCTCTATGAGGGAAATTCGATGTTTGCCGAAGGGTGTTGAATAGTTGGGAAACTTGTGATGGCTGAAGATTCTTTTTGAGACAATGATCTTATTCGAGGAAAATTGCAGTTTTACTGGAGGAGAGGTAAATATTTGGGAAATTTGTCTGTATATTGGGTGATGATATTTTTGGAGAAGATGCAACAATTTCTCTCTAATTCGCGTACAGATTGCGCACAAGAATGGACAATTTGGGAAGAGGAGATACGATTATTCGAGCCTTGCGTTTCATTTTTATAGTTGTCGACAAGCCGCAAGGCTCGAATAATCGTATCTTCATTTCCCAAATTGTCCTCTTTTGTGCGCAATCTGAGCGCGAATTAGGGAAAAATTTCTGTAATGTGTTCTTCGCGAGGGAAATTCAATTCTTGCTGCGCGAGTGACGAATACGTGGCAAACTTATGTGTCCGTTGGCAGAAGATCTTTACGGAGAAGATACTGTTCTCTGCGAGGAAGATTCCAGTTTTATTGTGGGCGAGATAGATGCTTCGGTGACTCGGGTGTATATCGGGGGATATTTTTTGGGAGAATAATGTGTTCGAGGAAAGTTCAATTTATGTTATGGAGATAAAAGGTAGTTGGGAAACTGGTGTGTGTTCGTAGGAAGACTATTTTTGTGAGGGAAATAATGTTACGTGCGAGGAGAATCGATTTTTTGCTGCGGGGGAGATGAAGTCTTCCTAATTGACGCTCGGATTGTGCACAAAAATGAACAATTTGGAAAGAGGAGATACAATCATCGAGTCTTGCGGTTCGTTTTTACAGTTACCGATTGTCGACAATTATAAAAACGAGAGCAAGGCGCGAATAATCGTGTCTCTTCTTCCCAAATTGTCAATTTTTACAATCTGAGCGTCGGTTAGAGAGAATCGCAATCATGTAAACGGTAAACGATTAAACATGAGAAGGATGAAGATTGAAATCGACTCGAAGATTGAATTCGATTCTACTTCACAGTGCTTCAGTACATCTAAAAAGTTTCATTTGTTGGATAAATGAGAAACTGTCGTGAGATCGTTGGCGGATGATCTTTGCGAGGAAAATCGTAATTCGATGATGCCAGCGATCAGCGTTTAAATTTCCGTAGTCAACTTGTCGATCGATGACATCGCCACACAATTAGTTCAAAATCGAACGCAGCAGGGCCACTGTGCAGCGGCTCGTAATAATTTAACGGGACGAGTCGGAGACAGGGGTCCCGTAACGCATCAGCCATCAGAGAAAGAGAAAGAGAAAGAAAGAGAGAGAGAGAGAGAGAGAGAGAGAGAGGGAAGCGGTCATGAAGATCCAGCTGCACACCGCGGGTGATACTCATACCTTTGGCAAAAATGCGGCTCGTCAGACGATATTACGACTTATTCGCGCGTGACGTCTGACAAATGCCCGCGAATATCCCGGCGCCCTGTCTCCGGAGGAGAGCACCGGCTTCCACGGAAAGATCGGATAGGCAAAGGACCCCCTGGGACCCCTCCGGATCCTAAGCAAGCGTGAGAAATGCGAAGGACACGGCGACGGCGTGGCGGGCAGTCCCGGCTTCCAAGGAACGACAGCTGCGGTAGGACCGTCGGCCAGCGTAATAGCAATTTCACACGTGAGCCTAACGCTGCGAGGGATTTACGGCCGTAGCGGACCGCGACGTACGAGCAGACCGGAGCTCTGGGCTGCACCCGCGAGCACCAGCCTGCCGCGTTATGATCCTATAAACGTATTTTTAGAGCCTCTCTCTCTCCCGCTCTTTCTCCCCCTCTCTTGCTCTCTCTCTCCCTTTTTCGCCCTAACTTCGTCCTACTCCGCTGGCCCGCCTCTTTTCGCCTGTGCCCCACCGGCAGCCTTTTTTTACACCCGCAGAGGTCGTTAAATTTTCAATTTGCGACGGCGACACGCGTGGGCGGATTGCGCCCCGCGATTCGGCGGGGTGGGAAAATCGGGGAAGGGTGAGCGACGATGGGAACCGGGACGCCGCGCCGCTTCGGCTTGGAAATTGGAGCCTTGAGAGGATGGGGAGGGCCGAATATTTAGCAGGAGCTTGGGCTAGGCCGTGATTTTTGTGCGGCGATTTACGACGTTGCAGGCGGTGTTGGGAAAGATTTTATTCGAACGACCAATAAAAGATTGAGACCAACGAATAACATTTTACTCGACGCTGTTGAATAAGTATTCAATCGAGTTCGAATTTGCCTCGATACAAATTTGTCCGCGTACAATTTTATTCGAATAAGAATTCGTTCGAATATGGAATTATTCGAATAAATGGATAGAATGGTTTACGACGAATTATTCGAATAAATGGATAGAATAGATTACGACGAATTATGCGAACAAATGGATAGAATAGTTTACGATGAATTATTCGAATGAATGAATAGAATAGTTTCCGACGAATTATTCGAATAAATGGATAGAATAGTTTACGATGAATTATTCGAATAAATGGATAGAATAGTTTACGATGAATTATCCGAATAAATGGATAGAATAGTTAACGAAGAATTATTCGAATGAATGGATAGAATAGTTTACGACGAATTATTCGAATAAATGGATAGAATAGTTTCCGACGAATTATTCGAATAAATGAGTAGAATAGTTTACAACGAATTACTCGAATAAATAAATAGAATATTTTACGACAGATTATTCGAATAAATGGATATGATAGTTTGCAATGAATTATTCGAATATATGGATAGAATAATTTACGACGAATTATTCGAATAAATGAATACAATAGTTTACGACGAATTATTCGAATAAATGAGTAGAACAATTTACGACGAATTATTCGAATAAATGAATAGAATAGTTTACGACGAATTATTCGAATAAATGGATAGAATAATTTCCGACGAATTATTCGAATAAATGAGTAGAATAGTTTACAACGAATTACTCGAATAAATAAATAGAATATTTTACGACAGATTATTCGAATAAATGGATATGATAGTTTGCAATGAATTATTCGAATATATGGATAGAATAATTTACGACGAATTATTCGAATAAATGAATACAATAGTTTACGACGAATTATTCGAATAAATGAGTAGAACAATTTACGACGAATTATTCGAATAAATGAATAGAATAGTTTACGACGAATTATTCGAATAAATGGATAGAATAATTTCCGACGAATTATTCGAATAAATGAGTAGAATAGTTTACAACGAATTACTCGAATAAATAAATAGAATATTTTACGACAGATTATTCGAATAAATGGATATGATAGTTTGCAATGAATTATTCGAATATATGGATAGAATAATTTACGACGAATTATTCGAATAAATGAATACAATAGTTTACGACGAATTATTCGAATAAATGAGTAGAACAATTTACGACGAATTATTCGAATAAATGAATAGAATAGTTTACGACGAATTATTCGAATAAATGAGTAGAACAATTTACGACGAATTATTCGAATAAATGAATAGAATAGTTTACGACGAATTATTCAAATAAATGGATAGAATAATTTACGACGGAATATTCGAATAAAATATTGGACTCAAATGAATTTTTATTCGGATAGTTATCTTACAATTAGACCAATGTTTATTCGATACAATCCTAATAATGTCGAACTCTGGTTGCAGGAAAATATGTTCGAGTGTGGTACAAGCGGGGTATTAATGTGTGTCGTGGGAAATTTCTGGTTTATTGTGGAGATCCTAGTCCGAGGATGCGATGTGAACACGGTAATTATTGGCGAGTGTACTTAGAGGCACCGAAAGGCATTGAAAGGGTGCGGAGAGCGTCGCGACAGCAACGGCAATTATCGTTAATACGCGTAATTGCCGCAGCTAACTTCTCATTCGAAGTATGGAACCAAGTGGGAGTGGGCTTTATCGTTATCGACTTCTTTCTGGTGGACGTGTGCTATAGTCGTTGGTCGCACAGTGTAAATTCTGATAGAATGTTGGCGAAGATCGAATTCTACACTTTTTAGACATTTTGGTTATTTTTGCAGAAGGTTCGATTTTCGCATTAATTCATATTCAGCGACCTCTGACAAGCGGGAGAAATTTTTTCCTAGAATAAAACTGCCGCGACCTTGAAGCGTGGAATCTCCTCTTTCCAACGAGCTAAATAACGTCGAGCTACGATTTTTTGGCACCACTTTATGGCTGCTTGAATCAAAAGAGTGCCGCGGCAGCTAAATTCTGGGGATTCGAAGTTCGAGGCAGAAATAGAACGAAATTTGGTAAATTTCAAATGACTGTAACTTTGTTGAAAATTATTCTATCGCGTTGGCTCTTAGCTCATCTTAAAGGCTGAAGTTTTCCCTTTAACACTGTTCTAATTATTTTGAAATGTCATCACTATGTCGTTATTAACGCATTTTTTGCTACAAAGATCAACTTGTACCTAAAACTTATCTTTGCGAACCTGTGGAAAGGGCGACAAATTTTTTCCTGAAATACAATTAAATTCGTAATGAAGCGTCAAGTTTTCTCTCTCCAAAAAGCCCAAAAACATCGGCCTACGATTTTTTCCCACTACTTTACAGCCATTCTAATCAGAGTGCTAATTTACAGTAAAAATAAGAAGGAATTCATAGAACTTCGATTATTCTGTATGTCGCAATAAAACAACTCGCTCAAAAAATCCAAACAAAACAGCTTCAATTATTTGCCCGGTTAGTTTGGTAACAGAGCTTCGACCTGGGGTCCATTTTCCCAGGAATCGCCGCAATCTAAGCCCGGCTAAGGGTCTCGCGAATACATTACATGGGCATCGTCGATATATTCGGATTATCTTGGTGCAACATCAGTCGACGCTGGCGCTGCTCACACGGTGCACCAGCTTACTGCCATTTTCACGACTAATTCTCGCCGGACGCGGCGTTAATGCCGGCCATGCCTTATACACTCGCGTATATTTCGAAAAAGGTCCGCTAATAAAGCACGCAGCGCTACCTCGAAAGCTGTCCAACGTCCCCTTTAATTCTCTGCTGGTGTTAGCCTTAATCCTCCCACGTGTTGCGTCCTCGGATCGTTATCTCGAGTAATCGTACTTAATAATACTAACAGTAACGTGTACTTATTACCCGGAGGAGAGTATAGGAGGTCCGCGGTTCCGCGCAAATTAATGAGATCCCGGGGCTTTTATTTCACGCTCGCGAACTTCTTTCCGCTCGCTTCCTTCTCGCTCGGACTTTAACTGCGATTTTAACCGATATTAACCCTTCGCGCTCGTACAATTTTCTCGGATCGGCTTCCGGCAATTACAACGTATTCATTACGTACGTATTAATCGCTTACAAACTCGCGATGAAGATTTCGTTCATGATCCATTAAACGTGAACGTTAGTTTTAAAACGAAACGAAATTTGATGCTTCCGTTACCAAAATCTTGGGATGAAAATAAACCGAGAATAAAAGAATCGGAGAGAGAAGAATAAAGACAATAATAAAAGAAGAATAAAACAAGAATAAAGACAAGAATGAAACAAGAATAAAAAATGTCTCGTTCTATCAGGGAGATAATAAAATAAATACGATGAAAATGTCATCGAAGAGAAGCTATAAATTCTCTATCATGCAATGCGTTACGATCTCAATCAATTGCATTCACAAAATAAATTCGATGTTCCTTACGTAAGCTGAAAGAAGATAAAAAAAATCGTGGTCGTCGCACACGTGTGACGCTGGCAACGAACGCGTTAAGAACGAAGAATTGCCAATCAAAGTAGCTGCAGAAGATGTTGTAATACAAAGTGTTAAATAGAATTTAGTATCAGGACCGTATCGATAAAAGAACGCGCGAAAAAAGAAGAATTTCGATGAGTCAGTTATCTGCAGGTTGCTCCACTTCGTTTTACAATAAAGTTTTACCAACGTGTCGAACACCGCATTAAGACCTTGGTGGACCATTCCACTAAGAAGACACAGTATACGGCTCGAAACAGGGCTACACGGAGGACGGTCAAGTATCGCCGGAGGTGGTAAGAAACGAGGGAGCGAGGCATGAAAGTAAAATCGCGTGGCAGGTATTGTAAACTGCGGAATTATTCCTCGTGACCGTAGGAAACATCGAAAATACGCGAACGATCGTTATGCAAAGGGGCCCACGGTACCGTAGGAGGTTTACCGCGGCCGATAAGAAGCCGCGATTTGTACCATTTACGAGCCGGTGCTCTCGAAATATTTCATATTAAAACAACCATACGGCCGAGCAAGTGCGAGGACGGCCGGTATTGGACACGGTGCCCCGATTGCATCAGCCGTGTCTTCATTTATTCCGCGGGAAAACACGGCCGAGTCCTATTTACATTCGAAACGGGGCCCTCGATGTCGTGGAACGAACGGCCCCCCGACGTCTCCCGGGCCGCATGTTCCCGCCACCGTCACGATCCACCGTTTTGCAAACGATCCTGTATGCAAAATCACTCGGCTCGGCTCGCCTCGCAGTCGAAATTGCCATACGCGACCGACTATTTTGCATCCCGCCACGTGCGTACAGCTACTCCGTGAAATTTCGAACGATACCAGGCTCCGCACGACCCGTTTCGACCGCGCACCTGACCTCCATTCCTCTCTTCCGACCGCTTTTTTAACTTCTGCTCACGTATCCGCGCATTACGCGCCGCAAAACATACATGCGGGCGGTGTTGTGTTGTTGAACGATCTTCGCAGCGAATCAGGAAACCGGCTGAGAATTATTTTCTTTCTCGGCGCCGCGACTCGTGCTTGAACAATTAGGCGCGCGATTAAAATGTTCTCGTTTTGCGGATTTTCATGCTTGATCGTTCCTATGGTCTTTGGTTTTTGGCGACTCTGTTAGAAAATGGCAACGTGGGTATTCGGTTTACGTGATCTGAATCAGCCTGTAGCAATTAATGTGTAATCGTACACGAAGAAAAATTATATATAATTAATATAATTAATATAATTCAGATAAAACAATAGGTGGAATTACGTACTGATTGTTATATTCTTCGCTTCTCTCAAATTACATGGGAGATGTAACAATTACATCTTCACAATTATCGCTGGAATTATCAAACTAGTCAAAATGTCTGGTACCTGACTTTTTTCTTTTACAATTCCTGATATTATAAAAATCGCTTTTTTGAGAAATTTTTCGACGAACCTTCTTATTCAAACATTAATTGTAATCCAAATTATACGAGGTTTAAATAAATGTAATCTTGTAAAAAAGTCTCGTACAAAATGTAAGTAAATGCTATCTTGTGATAAAACTTGTACGAAGTTTAAATAAATGCAATCTTCTCATAAAACTTGTAGGAAGTTTAAATAAATGCGATCTTCTCATAAAAATCGTACAAAATCTAGACAAATGCTATCTTACAACAAAACTCGTACGAAGTTTAAATAAATGCAATCTTGTGATAAAAATCGTGCGAGGTTTAAATAAATGCAATCTTGTGATAAAACTCGTACGAGGTTTAAATAAATGCAATCTTGTAATAAATACGAGGTTTAAATAAGTGCAATATTGTGATGAAACTCGCGCGAAGTTTAACTAAATGCAATCTCGGCGATATCAGGTTTCAGTTTTAAACCGAGCTCGTTGAAGAGCGATCTAATTCGGACAGAAGGACAGCTATAATACACGAGAAAGTTTGCCGGTATCTTTACCTGTTGTTGCTGCTTGCTCCTGGTGATGGTGTTGACACTCTTCGGCTGTGCTTCGTAGCCCCCATTGTGCTGCAACAAAGAGAGAAGTATACGTAATTACATCGCCTCGAAACCGCCGCCTTTAGAAATCATAATTGCGTTCCGTTTTCAGAAAAATATATACGAAAGTCGCCGCTAAGAAAGTAGGTTGCATGGCTCTTCCAAAAATAAAAAATGATCACGAAGAAGCACGCGGAGCGCAAATTATTCTCATTGTTCCACGAACGTCTGTCTCTGTGTGCACGGGAAACAATGGAACCCTTAATTTTCCCTTAACGAGGATCCGTAAACAATCAAAAACCGACGAATCTTGAGTCACTTAGTTCTCATTTCGTCATGATTCGACGGGACTGCGGCTTGCAATTACGGCTGATTCCCGGATTTCTCCGCGGAACAATCAAGCATAAACATTGTTACATGAGATTTTTCTGGCCTCGTTCGAGATTAGATCATTGCGAATCGTTTTCGTGGATCCCGATTTGTAATCGCGGGTTAGGTATACATGAATGGGTCAAAAACGAATAGGTCAAAAATAGATAAAAATGAATAGGTCAAATACAAAACTGTAAGGACATCATTGAAGTTTCATCAAGCATATCCATTCAGAATATTGTTCCATTATTTTCAACTTATTACAATGATTAGATAGACATTTTCATGTAAGGTAGGTTTGTAAGAATCTCTTGTAGACAATTTTTATTTCGCACAAGGATCCACAGTCTACTTATAAAGAAATCATAATTTTAACAATTTGAGAATAACTCCTGACGTTATCATTTCCATTTATTATAAACGGATAATAAAATCTATATAAATAAAATCCACAATTAACCTTAAACAGAGGCGCAACTGAAATTGCATGAAAATAGTAAAAAAAAGAAAGAAAAGGGAAAAGGAAGAAAAACATTTTCCTTGTCTTGCATTTTACTAGCTCGTCTCAATTATAACATAAAATAATAAGGCTATTATAGCATAAAATTATAGCATCTCAATTATAACATAAAATAATAAGACTATTATAGCATAAAATCCGCGATCCGCGTGTTACATATATCATAATCAACCACGCAACGACCAAAGAAAAATGAAATAATAATAATTGGCATTAAGAAAAGGACGAATCATCTTCAGTGGAAGAAGGCAACACAATCGATCGAGCATCGTGAATTTCCTTGGGCAAATTCGACAGCCGCGTTCGTCGCAAACGAAGGGACGCGGTCCCGATCGATCATTCGGTGGCGCGTTTAATAGCGATCGATCGATCACCGGTAGCTGAAATCTCGGCTGAAACTAGACGCCCGGAAGAGGCGGACGTGACGGGGCGCAATTTGTCGCGTTCGGCGGGCAGCGGGGCGTCGTAACAACAAAACGATCGCGCGAACGACACCCACGCGAGGACGGGGCGAACGCACCTCGCTCTCGATATGGAGGGCAGTGTGCCAAACCGTGAACGCGATGCGGTGCAGAAGCGTCTCCGTCTCCTCCCGCAGAGGCGTTTCCTCCTTCAGGTTGTTGTTCACGTTGTCCTGGCGAGGATCGCCGCAGCGACAGCAATTCGCACGGAGCCAGGCCCGCGACAGCGAACTGCTGTTCGAGTTCGTCATCTCTGAATCCCCCGAAAAAATACCACCGACTCCGTAGATTTACAATAAATATCTCTCTATAATCTCTCTCTGATAGGAACTTCGAGTTCTCCCAAGTATCTTCAAGGAGCCCCTTTGAAAATACTCGGACGCATTTATACTTGAACGATTCATCGAAAATTAAGGTGCTCCATGTTTGCGGACAGCGTGAATCAATCTCTTGAGTCACCGATCAAATTATTTGGGCGAGAATGTATCGTTATCTCTGGACTGCGTTCGGTGCTCTCTTATCCGGCGATTTTCAATCGATCGTCGAGCACTCCTTAATAATCCAACGGAGCCGCAAATCGCTCGGCTGCGTCGAAAGCGGTGAGCAAATTGAGCAGGCGTTCAGTACTTATCTCACGAGTCAACAATGCGGTGATCTCTCCTCACGCGGTCAACAGCCCCGTAAATTCTCCGTTCCCGAAAATAGCGATCTCAGGATTAATCTATCACAATTGAGCAATCGCGAGAGAGCGGCGACGATATCGGAAGTCGTTGGCGATCGCAGGCTTCGGCTTGCCCGAAAATTCGCCCGATAGTTTGCTGTGGGAAAATTCGTCCGTTCGAGGATTCCGGGTTCACGGGACGCAGCACGTGTTCGTTCGACGTCGGCGCCGTGGAGTCCCGTGCTCATTACGAATTGTTCCGCAACATCGGGCACCGCCTCTTCTCTCCTATCTTCCACCGGCGAAGAAACGTTTGCCAACTCCGCGATTCGCCGACGAGAAGCTCGCGCTAATCCCACGGAGCCGCTGTCGGATGTCGCTGCATCCTCTTAAACGCCGCCCGACCGATCGCACACCGACTCGCACTCTCTTAGGAACTTCTCCGTGCTAATTGAACTCCTTATCCCGCCCGTCCTCCTGATCGCCGAACTGCCGTTCATGGTCTCCGATTGCAACCCTCTCGAGCTCGTTCTTTCGCCACTGATCGCAATCACTTTCGCAGCAATTGTCGGCTACATGGAGAGGAATCATCAAATTCCTCGTCGACGCCTAAGCTCGTTGATAACGAAAGTCTCGTAGGAAGAAGCATGCGGTCTCTTCAAGATGCGTAACGGTGCTCCCCGATGGACCCAAGTTACGCACAAAGATCCTCCTACTCGTTCATCGTCGTTCCGAACGCTCTCAGCTTCATCGTCTCCCAATTAATCTTAAACAAAGACGCAAAGACTCCCAACGATGAACTTCCTCTCCGGCTCAACTACACCCAGAAAGCCGTCGAGCTTCTTCAACTTCACTTCGGATCACGTGAAAATCACCCACTCCGTCAGACCTCGAGCGACGCTGCAATCAATCTTCCGGCTGGAATCCTCAAGAATCCTCTAACAGGATCCGCAGCGAGCCTCGAAGCAGAGGACCCTGCCCATCGATCCTGAATCCCCGCAAGCTGACAGGCCCGCGACTCCACCTGTCTGTCGGCTCAAGGTCACAGTGGGTATCCACCCTCGGATGTCCACGCTCGGCGCATCGCTGCGCCGCTTCTGCGTTGTCGGGTCGTCGTTCGACGTCTCGCGGACGGTTCCCCGATCGCTGACGAACTCGAAGAGGCGCGTGGGTGGACGCGACACGTCGACGGCCAGTGAGAAAACCGCGAAGAATCTGTCGGGATCAGCGGGGATCACGCGACCTGGGTCAACCGGCACGAACGTCTGCGCCGCACGGGAGCCGCCCCGGCGCTGCGGCCGGATAGAGGGATGAAACCCTGCATCTCTGCTTCGGGGTCGTGGGGGGGCTGCGAGGGGACGCCGTCACGTAGCCATGGCGACCGCGACCAGCGTTCCCAAGCTGCACGCAGGCTTGCTCCTGCGCCCCGCGGGCTCGCCAGGATCGCGCGAGTTCTATCGTCGAAGGGACAACTTCTCGAGTAGGTCGAGTGCCACTCCCTGTAAATATAATTACCCGTAAAATTGCCGGACCCGCCGCGGTACCGCACCCTGTCCTCCCTCCCCCTCTGTTGCAACCGGGTCCTCGCACGCGGCCTCGGCAAACGCGCTTTTTCGGATCCTCGCGCTCTAATTTTAACGTTCGATCGCAACGGGATCCGCGGCTCGATGTCTTTACGAGCGCGATGCGGGTTTTACACTTTTGCCGGGTTTACGACCGCGCGAGGCGACGCGGGTCGGAGCTACTCTTCGGGGCGTGTTCAGGGATGCAGAATTTAATTCGGTGGAATTCGAGACGCAGTGGTGGCTGTCTTGCTCTGCGATTCTTGGAGGAAGTTTTTGCAATTGAGAATTGCGAGGCTGAGTTGTGGAGGGGGTTCTTCGGGGCGTTCTTCGTCTTGTATCGTCGCCAGTTATGTCTTCGGTTCAAGGGATCATTCTTATGAAACTAATAGGACTATTTTTTGAGCAAGTGCTACGTGGATCTTGGATTGCAATTTTTGAGATGCGCTTTTGTATTTGCAACTCGGCTTTGCTGAGTTTTTACTGGCTTCTCGGGGTTCTTCGGGATGTACTTCAGCTAGAATTGTTTTAATGTAGTTCTACATCTTAAGGAAATATCTTGAAGGAAGTGGTGGAACCTTCTTTTTTTTTAAATTACAGGTACGTAGAATTTGAGCTACGATTCTTGTAATTGCAACTGGTTTATTGCGGTTTTGCAGGTTCTTCGGCGTGTGTTGGAAGGTGGTCTCGAGTTGGGTGTTTAGTTCAGGAGAACATTTTCAGGAATATACCAGGAGCTTTTCTCTACTGACAGCAATTTTCAAAATGAACCCGTTAATTGCAATTGGTTAGACTGAATTATCACACAGACTTTCATATACTTCGCCAAGAATAGTTTCAAATTAGGTGCATTGCGTACGTGGATCTTATTTCGCGATTTCTAGAATGTGCTTTTATAATTGTGACCGGTGTGCTGATTTTTCTCAAGTGTTCTTCAGGGTGTACTTCGCCAAGAATTGTTTCAAGTTAGGAAGACGTGGCACATGAATCTTGGTCCGCGAGTTTTCGAATGAGATTTCGTAATTGTAACCGGTTGACTGATTTTGTACAGGGTTCGTCTGAGCGTGATTCATAGCGATCATAGTCTGAAGTTAGATCCGAGTTTCAAAGGGACATTGTCAAGAAAGTGACGAGACATTTTCTACAAAATATTCAGCCGAGGAAGATTCGCAAAATCCTTCGGCTGGGGGGGATTCATAAAAATGCAGCCCCCGTAAGACAGCATCGCGTACTATATGTTTTATAGTCACTCCTTCGAACTCATCCGCTGTAATAACTTAGTGCAAGATTTTTTACGACGCGTTTCACCAAAATTCTTACCTTCGTACAAAAGAGAAGTTTCAAGAGTGTACTATAACACTTTCTGCTGAAGAATCGACTGACAAAGACTGGTCCTATAAAAATTCCTGCAAGACAGAGCTGCGTATACTGCCACCTAAGACATGACTATGTCA